TACGCACTGAGGTACTCCGTCAATGCCACGACCATCCAACTGCAGGACACCCCGGACTACACGGGACACTCGACTTGGTCAGTACCCATTTCTGGTGGCCTACGTTGCGCTCTTTTGTGGAAAAATACGTTGAGGGATGCGAGGTTTGTGCCCGTAAGAAGATCCAGCGACACCCACGGGCCGTAACTCAACCATTAGATGTACCATCCGGTCTATGGGAAGAGGTAGGGGTTGACCTGATAACACAGCTACCTAACTCCCAAGGCTACGATGCTGTCTTGGTTTGCACAGACCTGTATGGAAAACAAATTCACGCCATTCCTTGCACCAGCTCCATCACAGCCGAAGGCGTTGCCGATATTTACTACCGAGAGATCTTCCGTCTCCATGGTCTTCCTCTTCACTTTAAATCCGACCGCGGACCCCAGTTTGCAGCTAAACTCATGCGATCCCTTCTCGCTAGGCTAGGAATTAAATCAGATCTAACCTCCGGATACCGTCCTCAGTCTAATGGCCAAACCGAACGAGCAAATCAGGAAGTAGAGAAATACATCCGCCTCTATGTAGGACGACGACAAGACGACTGGGCAGAGCACCTTCCCATGGCGGAGTTTGTGATTAACTCACGGTAACGAGCTTGCCTCGTTTTTGTGTGAAAGAGAAAGGAAGGAATCTAATGGGCACTCCAACCAACCAATCTAATACACAATATGCGAGTTCACTGCTATCAAATTTATTTAATAGCAAGGGGTAGCGTTGGCAAAGGTTCCGCAAAGCTTTGAGAGCTAAGTACGAAGCTTTGATTAATCAATTTGAATCGTTCTAAGGATTCGATATATGCCTTTGATCAAGGTAGATTCAGCACGATTTGTGCTTTGGTTTGTATTGATTTGGGTATATCAAGAATTGGGGGTTTGAATCAAAGTAAATTAAAACCGAAACACACAGACCCCTACAGAGGGCTAGAACTATGTGCTGGCACAACCACACAGCGTGATTTGCCCTTAAGACCAACGACTGATCCTAAGTTCGAAGAATACCCAACAACTGGATATACTTCTCGCAGTCACAAGGAGCAGAACACGACGTTCCTATACTCACAAGTGCCGGGCCCGAATGGCTGCTAGCGAAGAGGTTTCAGTCTGGCGGGAGTGTGTCTTTCCTTTTTACGGATTAGCACTGCAACGTCGTCCCAAAATCACTTGTATTCCAGATACATCGGATCGCTATTTATACATACAGAATATAGAGTCGCATAGTACAATTAATTTAATAAAATAAACGTTCGGAACCGCAAGGAAACTTCTACACTCAGTCAGATACCATTTAATTTGAATCTACATGTCCTTATTTGGTCCATATTGGTTCCAAGATTCTAGTATACCTCCAAACATAGGTAGGTACTTCAATATTCATTTAATTTAATTGTTTTTAGAGAATGACTCGAATGGTGTTCAACTGTCATTGCGGTTCAACACTTACTTCGATCGTTTGTCATCTCGTCCGGAGGCAAATCAGCTCTCCTCGATTCTAATCCTATCAATCTGATTCATCTGGATTAAACTAATTGCTTCTCTCTTTCAACAGACACCCATTGTGCCTATACTATATCAAGGGAGTTACGCATAGTATTCATTTAATTACATTCTTCAATGTTTTCTACGCCAGGACTCTTTGACATTCATTTGATATGTCTTCGGAACCTCGCAGTCTTTCGATCGTTCTTCTAGTCATTTTCCTCAACCATGCAACTTGATTGGTCTATTAGACTAAATCGCAGTCTTTTAGATTAATGCATGATCTTGTTCTAGAAGGAGTATTTTGATAATTCCTGAGTTCTAGAAAGTCATTTCGAGTCAATCCTCGGTTCATGGTCACTTGAGTAAGTTCTTCCAAACTCCTGCCAGTGTAAGGTCCAATAAGAATACCCTTGGTATGTCATACGTGAATGGTCATCCTTCGGATGTAGTCCGAGTCTGGTATAATCCTGCTTGACAAACAGGTAGACTGCTATCCGTAGGTAGTATCGGGGATGGGTAAACTAACCAACTTGTGGTAGTATGGGTATATGGTCCCTTCAACTTATTAGACTGATTCAGTATTGACTTTGACTGTCAATCTGGGTCTCAATTACAGTCCTCTCGATACAAATCTATACGTGAAAATGTCACAATTCACAATATAGACGTCTAGCCAAAATTTAGGCGTGTCAACGGACTCATTCTGCGCTAGGCATGTCCCCGTTCGAGCTAACCTACGGCTATCTTCCCCTGTTCAATATCCCAGTGGGCCAACGCAGTGGTATTCCAGCTGTGGATGACCGTATACGGATTCTCCGAGAAGCGCGACAAGATGCCGGAGCTGCCTTACACCTAGGAAAGAAACAACAGAAGGAGGGATACGAACGCGGGAAGCGGAAAGCTCATCAATTTAAAGTTGGAGACCTAGTCTGGCTCAGTGCAGAGGACATTAACCTTCAACTTTCCAGTGAAAAGTTAGGAGATCGACAGCTTGGCCCTTATCGCATTCTGGAGAAAATTGGCCCTTTAGATTACCGCCTTGACCTTCCCCTATCCCTAGATCGCCTCCATCCCGTCTTCCATGTCGATAAACTATACCCCTGGAAAGGTAACTCCATTAATGGCGAAATACCAACACCACCAGAGCCGGTATACTTAGAGGATGAAGACGAACCGGAATACGAAGTAGAGGAGATCTTAGACAGCCGGGTTCGATGGAAGAAGTTGGAATATTTGGTTAAGTGGAAAGGTTACGACGCAGGGCACAACTCTTGGGAACCCGCAGCCAACCTCAGTCGAGCACCAAAAATTGTTCGGGCCTTTCATAAAAAACACCCAACAGCGGCAAAGCCTTGACCATCGAGGGCAATGGTCATAAGGAGGGGGGTAATGTCATAAAGTACGCAGCCCCTATCATTTTCCTTTTCTCACCGTCTCGACGCCTTTACTTGTACGATACATCATCCCATCACTGTCAAACCCCCATCGATTACTGATCCATCGATTACTGATCCACCTGACCCATCTTCTCCTTCTATTGGCTTCCGCCACCTTCCTTGTTCCTAAACTGTACAGTATTACATCGTTGTTTCTCGCAGACCGGATTATGTATATATAGCCAACCCTCCACAGCCTGGTCCCTTATCTTGACCTCTCTGTCATTATCTGGGACCAGGTATGTGCTTACTTATTATTACCTATGACTACGATACTCAATATATCTCTGTCATTATCTGGGACCAGCCTGCCGCCGTTCTGCTTAGTCGCTCCGCCTTGTTGCCTCGTCCAGTTGCTCCGCCTCACCGTTCTGCTTAGTCGCTCCGCTTTCCCGCTCCGTTAGTCACTCCGCCTCTGCCGCTTCGTGACAGGTACATTGTTTTTAACGCTTTAGCTTTGTGAGAGGGGTGTAACATTAAGAATAACAGTGTACATCAATCAAACAGTAGAATTTTAGTACACTAGACTTATCAAAATAACAAGCACCAAAATCATTACTTGTGATTGCAACTACTGTCAATTCCAAATGGGACCAAAGTGGTTCTTTTCTTGAGGCTTGAAAACTAACATTCAAATTGAAAGGTACATGTCATGTCAATATAACATCTTCCCAATCCTCATTACCATTATCAATAAGAATCCAGTGTGAGTTTTCTATCACTAATGTCTTTCAATATGCTGATCTGATTCAAGCTCCAACCTATCTGCAATGACAAAAGTCTCAGAGTTGTAATGCTTCAACAATATTACCCTTTAGGTTATTATGGCATTTACCAATAGTTATTCCTGTGGCTGAAAATGGTAATGCCCATATAGGTAAATATTGTGCATTTATCTATAGGCACATCAGCCATTGCCAATACCTAGGTGAGAATTTTGACACAAATTTTGGGTACTCAGCCCCGGCTCAGAACCCAGCTTGGGGCCTTCAAAAATTCTGGGCTGGGCCCTCAGCTTTCCACAGCCTTGGAGATGGCACATCACTACTCCCCAGAATGAATCAGTACCTTTCAGCTTCATATCAGACTCCTCAGAACCTCCCAGCCTCACATTGGACTTCTTGGAACATTCCCAGAACTGCCAGAACCTCCCCTTCCCCACCTATCTCCATCTGTTACCAGATCCCACATCTGTAAAACCTGTATTTTTGGCTAAGAGCTCGAAAGCAACTGACAGCACTGTCCAGCTGGGAAAGTGCTCCCAGAAAACTGCTGGGAGTGCTTTCAGTGCTGGACAGCACTCTCCAGCTAGTATCCTTGCTCTTGCAAACATCCAGGTTTTGCAGATGCAATCCCATGTCATACACCCTAACTGGCCAGTACAAATCTTTCCTTCTTAACTTTGTTGTACCTTAGTATTTGGCAAAGGGCTGAAAGCAGATCCCAGCAGATCCTAGTACTGAAAGCATCAAGAGCAGTCTGTTTTCAGTGCTTTTCTCAATTGCTTTCAGACCCTTAGCCAAAAATATTGGATAGTAATATCAATGACTCAAGCTGCCAAACTCATCATCATGTTGCAATTTTTCCTCTTGCCACTAAAACATAGAAAGAATTATTATTATGATGGAAATCATGTCACAAATAGGGTCCTTGATGGCACTTTGGTATACTTACCAACCATTTGGCTCCAATATCTGCATGATGAATGTGCAACAACAGCAAGGGTACTATAAAGCACAAAAACAAAAAACAGCAGCATGATAACATTATGTGGAACAAACAATAAAGCAACAGGACACAAAAGTGCAGGATAGAACTGAGGCCTGAATGTTAGTATTGCATATGCAAAACCTGTAACCTTTGCTTTGACAACTCTCACTGAAAACTGCCAAACAGCTTTTTGAAACTCATTCTCAGCACTGGTGAAAGCCCGGTCAAGGTTGAATTGTAGTGCGTTTTCATCGCTCCACTGTGGTATGTTTCGTCATGTACAATCATCGTGAAACTCGATAGCAGATCGTTCGAAGCATTCCTCATTCGTTGCATGCCTAAGGCGCTCAAACGTAGGGCAATCCAAACGGCATTCCATATGCCGAGCGCTAAGAGGGTATCAAAACAAACAAAGAGTGAACAAAGTAAACTAGATAAAGATATCGGTACTATCGGGTTGAGGAGAGGGGTTCACAAGCATTCAAACAAATGGAACAACTATGTAAAAACAACAAAGGGAAGAAAACGGCGAATAGTGACCTGACAACCTAACAGCGACGGGCGTAGGAGAGAAATATGTAAGAGATGAAAAAAAAACTAAAGATAGATACATAAAACAAATAATCGATTTAATTGTACGACCATATACGAGCTTGCCAGTCTCCACTTCCTGTTGCGAGTATGTTTGCTGCTGGACTGAGGTCTATCGAAATTACTGGAAATACGGGGAAAAAGGAAGAGCGATTGGACGTTAGCGGCTGGTAAACAAGGAAGAAACGGGGGAAAACGGAGGTACATAGAAGTGCAATCATACAAGAGGTGGAGGTGTGAGACTCACCAGAATTCTTATGCCCCTGCAACATCGACTGCACGACAGCCGTCTTTGAGTCCCAGAACTGTACCCCACGATCTTTTGATCCAGAGACCACCCAGCGTCCATCATGCGATACCGCGACAGAGAGCACATAATCCTGGTTATCAACATGGTCAGTCATCCCAACGCATTTACCGAGATACGCCCCGCCCTACCTTATGTCCTATGAAATTCATCGTACACTGACTCTGCTTTGATCCATCCCCATCCCTCTTGACCAAACTTCCACCAGGCCCGCTCGGGCCCGCCCCGTTCGCTCCTTCCTTCCGGCTCTTAACTCCACTACTGCCACCGCTGCCACCCCCTGCCATCAGCGCAGCCACATCCCAATACTTCAACGTCTTATCTAAACTCCCACTAACCAACCCCTTTCCGTCCGGTGTAAACGCCACACTATAGACACTATCCCTATGCCCCCTTAATCTCTCCACCAACATCCCTGTAGCTACGTCCCATATCCTCACAACCGTATCCAACGATCCAGCCGCAACAAAATGCCCATTCGGGGATATAGCAACAGAAGTCACGCCCGCGTCGTTATTTAACGAATCCGGGTCGTTGATAGTGAGCACTTTCGATGTACCCTCTATCATGTCCCAAATCCGTGCCGTTTTATCACCTGATCCAGAGACAATGAGGCGGCCGTCGGCAGAGAAATCGAGCGAGTAAATCTCTTGTTGATGTCCGTCAAAGATATTGCGAATTTTTTTGCGTGCAATGTCCCAAATCTAAGAGATCGTTTAAATTCCGTTACCCGGGGAGAATGAGGAAAAATATTAATGCACCCGAATTTGCTTGTCCTCGGCACCGGTAGCAAGAAATTTCCCATCCGGACTGAAACACACGCTTCGAATGTAAAGGTCCCCAGACTTTCCCACTGAATCATCAACCAGAACGCTGATAGATAAAAAGGTGTGAGCGTTAACATTATATCCGAGGTTAACCCAGCGTACCATGATTTGTGACCCGTTTTCACGTCATATATTTGCGCAGTGCGATTGCATCCTGTGGCAAGGTATCTGCCGTCGGCTGAAAAACGTACACAACAAACGACGCTAAAAAATAGAGGGAAAAAATAAGAGCAAGGGAAAAAAAAGTCATTTTGATTATCCTCGGACTGAAAAAAGAATGTGCACGTACCTTTCGTGCATGAGTGTATGAACCAAATTGACGTTGAAAACCTTCTCAACCTTGGGATTATACACGATGAACCAATCCGTGCCCTCCCTCTTATATTCGGCTGGTAATGACGCCAAGTCAGCCTCATCGGGGAAACCACCACCCGGAGTGTTGATGGGTACCACAGCACCGTTGTTAGCAGGAGGGTGTACATCCATCATCGGTGACGGTCCAGCGGAGCTAGATCCAGGAGGATGACTTGATAATGGCAAACCGTGAGAGGAACCTGGTGGTGGAAGGCCAGGACCAGAAGACAATTGACCAGGGCCAGAAGGTGGCGGTGGTCCAGAAGATGAACCAGGTGGTGGTAATTTGGGTAAAGAGGCAGGACTAAAAACGTCTGTGATATAGGCACGTGGGGAAGATGAGAAGCCTCGGTTCGGATAAAGGTTACAAACGGAAGATTAGGAGTTTGAAACATACCTGGCCTTTCGGATTTCATTCTGTCTGCTTTCATCCTTTTTGGGTCTCGCGAGTCCACTGCGCGATCCCTCTCTCGATCTCTCATGGCATCTCGTTCTCTGTCTCGCTCAATCCGTTCATTACGCTCTCGTTCCCTCACATTATCACGGTCGCGATCTCTGTCGTTGCGCGAAAAATACGGGTCATTAAATGGTGGAACACCGCCACCGGCTGAAATCGAAGATGGAGGGCCACCCGAAGCAGGTCCCATTATTGGAGGGTTGTGTCCTCCACCAGATGGTATTCCACCTCCTCCCTGACGCAAAGCGTGATTTTCGGAGCGAAGACGAGCAAGTTCTTCTTCATACTGCTGGCGCACTTTACCGTGCTGAGCCTCAAGTTCGTACAAGGATTGACGTATAATGTTCAATTCATTCACTTGTGAACCAACTAGAGCATGTTGTAAGTGAATTATATACAGAAAAGAAATTCCAAAAACACACCTTTAGATTCGAAATCATCGCGCTGACTCCTAACGGTGCCTACTTCATTTACAAGCACTTCAAATTCACTGCGAATAGCTTCAAACGAGTCGTTAATCCGAGCCATACTGTGCTGAGGCCCCGCAGCGACAGCACCAGGACCACTTGGCTGGAGGCTACGATGCTGCGACTCAGCCCTGGTTAGAAAAAAAGAACCTCGTGTAAGTTGGAAAAAAAGGGCAGCTCACATTGTAGATTGAGCTACTAGACATTTGTTTGTTTGTTTTCGTCAATAGTCGTTATGCAATACTCGCCTGTCGTCGACTGACGCAGCAAGTTATGCTTCGGAATTCGAAGGGAAGAATATCAAAAGTTGACGGACGGTGATGTGAGAGGAAGGAAAGAGAGTACAAATCGGAAGTTTGATGAACTCCGCTCTTTCAACAGCTGAAAGAATTTTCGCAGGGCCCTCAATTTGGTATGCCGCCGGTTAGCCTTTTTGGTTTCTCGCGTGATGAACTAGATCAGATCGGGCTAATCAAATAATCCCCATCAAGGTTCACATTTCCCTTTTCCCTTCCGGAAGGCCATCTTCGCTATCTCCACTTCCCGCCAAAAATTCATAAGCTGTTCAGCTGTTCAACCACCCTCCACAGCCTTGAACACGTATCTGGACACGTCATCTATCCCGTAACATTCAAATTTTTCTCCAAAGTCATTAATTTCACGTTCAAGTTAAAATGAACTTCCCCTCGGTTCGTACCTTCGAGCTTCATTCAAATCTCAGGCAGAATCCGCGTGCATTCTAGCGGTATGTGTAGGTTATGTATGTTATTTCTTGATCCCAACTGATCAGTTCAATCTATATGTATTCATATTCTTTCCAAATTTACACGTTCGTATTCGAGAATCTCCGAATCGCACGAGCGGGAGAATGCGAAGGGAATAATTAGTGACACGTACAACACGTTCACGTTGACCCTCCCGGCGCGGTCGAATTAAAGTTGATCCAAGCTTTCCTTTTCGAAGAAATGGTTACGCTAAACTGGTTCATCATCAACCTTAGATCTATCATCCGGGGTTCTCGCACTTGGGTTCCGACTTCCTAAATCCTCATCAGCCAGACTTTCGGGAGAAGTAGTTGTGGAACCTATAGCCGGGCTCTTGTGAACTTGCTACAACAATTTTCGGCTTACTGAGTAAGATCGGAACCTCTGCTATACGACAGAAATCCGCTAACCTTCACTCCCTATTCGGCACACACCCTTTTATCATACTGGCAAAATGCAGTAGATCTCGTTTTGGACAAACATCGTCGGTATTACTCAAGTCTCGAGTATCAATAAGCGATCTCTATTGAAGATACAGGAAGAAGGTCTTGAATTTGATTTAGAACATAACTCGATTGATTTAATTCAGCTGATATGCACACACACAGCCAGTAACAGGTGCAATGTATGTAGTCTACCAAGAACCCGTACTACGATGGATGGGCAACTCAGCTGTAAGTAGTACTTATCTATATGTGACGATAAAAATGTGCAACGTTCGTGTGACCATCTATGATCTCCTGTCCGTATGACAATATTCGATGAACCTCCTGGTCGTACCTTGAATAATCTTGTTCTTAAATATGATACGCTTTGATGCAAGTATTGAGAAGTAGGGCATCTTGCCAGTGATCATGTACTTGAGCAGTACTCATGATCTATCCTTCAATCTAGCTGAATTCGATTTACTCCCAAGTCAATTTGTTCGATTTGATTCGCAATTTGGGAAAAGGCGATAAAATATTGATTCAGTATATCCGATAAGAAGGAAACCAAACTATTCTTTCCCGAATTGTTCAAGTGAAGTAGGCGCGGTCACAAGAACATACCGATAATACACTCCAGATATATATACTTACAAGATACAGTTCATACAATGCAAACGCTAGATGACACTGACTCGATATCGTCACAATTAGATCCTCTCTTCCTCTTAGATTCCTCTTTCAACACCACCGAACCTCCTTCATCAATTTCAACAACCTCGAATGCATCCTCCGTGTCTTCCTCCGTATCTTCCTCGGCATCCACTACATCAATGTCCTCATCATCCTCATCGGCGAGAATTTGGTGCGAAAGAACGAACACTCCCTCGTCATGATGATGATATTGTTCCACTTGCGCCTGTTCTGCAAACATCATTTCTTCAGCGAGTGACCTCGGAAGTAGTGCTTGTTCATCTCTTTCCCAAGTGAAGTCCATATTTCGCACCTGGGGAGATGATATAGATGAACCCTCAAGGGACGCAGCTAAGACATGAGACTGTGATGAAATCTCTGCTGCCATCGTGCTTTTCTTCTCTGCAGTACCCAGTTTCTGCAGCGGTTTCATAAGAAATTCTATACCTTGCTCCTGAGAGTGATGTGGCGAAGACACGGCCAGATCTATCCCCATTTTCTCGTACCCTTTGATTTTTCCCGCGCCTTCTTCTCCTTCCAGTCGTTCTTTCTCTGCATCCGCACCTTCGTCGACCTCCAACGCCGGAAGTCCCCAATAGTCTGGGCCACTAGCGTTAACGAACTGTTCTTGAAACTGATGCAAGGTCTCTTCGGAGTCACGAACGAAGCACGAAGCATGATGAACAACAGTGCAGGACACCTTAGACTTCATATTCCCATCGGTGCTCGCCCCTGAAGTTGTGTCAATATGGATGACCTTACTGAAGTGAACACATCTGTGTACCTGTACTCTTTTGCAAATCAGAATTGCTGACATCTAGATGTAACTTCGAGTCATTCACATGCGCCATAACGCTTGTGACTGCACTGAGAATGTCGGCTTTGGCAGTTCGCAGCGATCGGAAAGCAGGTTGGTCATGCAGTGATGTGGTTCCCCTTGAGTTTATTATACCTTGTGAATCCCAAGTATCATCAGCATGGCAAGATTTGTCGACTGATTTTGTAGTCTAGGTCAGCAAAATTCAGCTACCTCGAAATGAAGAGTAGGCTGAGACCCAGTGGATTTTCGATATACGAACCTCCGTGTACTTCGGCTTTCTCTCCCTTTCTCTTCTCTCCCTTCTGTCTCTTTTCTCCTTCCGTTCATCATTTTTTTGCGTTTCGGACCTATCTATAAAAAAGGCTCGAGGTGTGGTTGTTACACCTGTCCGGTCGTAGGACGACACATGTCCAACAGGGCCTAAAAGGGAAGGGTCCTGACCTACTTCCACGCTTTTCAACCACTCCTGCACAGAATTTCGTTTTTGGCGAAGATTTTGACGCTTGTACTCCTTCTCTGTCTTCTTGTCTACGCCGTTCTCGATGTGCTTTTTCACCTCGAGCAGAGTGGTATCATCATTCAAACAGGATGTTTGAATCCGCAAAGCTTCTTCACTTCTTATCCACTCCGTGGGCATCCGCCCATATGATCCTTCGATACATTCCGGGACCATAGAAGAAGAGCAAGTTTGATTAAAAGATTGAATGGGAGGGTAAGAGGCCGAGGAAAAATGTTTAAAAGCAGGTGGAGCACCGTAATCCATTGAAAACGAGGGTTGGCAGATTTTAAAGCCGTATGACTTGCGACGATGAGCTGTTTTGACTTCAGTTCCAGTAGACGATTTTTAGTACCAGACGATCATGATGAACTCACAGCTTTTCCAGTCACACTTCCCTAGAAACCATGGAATTAACCGAAGTAACTAATGGTAGAATCTTGGGACCCTCTTCGACGAAGTCGAGGAATTTCTGACGAGATTCCTGTCCACTCGTCAACCGAAAGCACAATATAGATACCTGTAGTCGAGGCCAGGTCGCGGTGGAATGAAGAGCCTAGAAAGTAGATGAAGGCAGGGTCGAAAGGCCCGTGCGCACGACTATTTATGCCACGCCACACAATAATTAAATGGGCGCTTGACTGCGGCATCGATTCTGTGTTTTTTTTACCAACAGGCCGAGGTACACAACGTATATATATACTCGTCAGCTTTCAAGGTCTTTCATATTCGCCTTGACAATTATAAGTGAATCTCAAGCTACAATCTCGTCAACCTTGGAACGGCTTATACAAAATCCCTACATCGAAATTAGCGGCACTATATTGAAGAATGAGATTTAACAAGAGGAAGGATATTCACCGGCACGACCCATTCTTTACACCCACAACGAACCCCAGCCCAATCGTAATTCCCCAACTTGGTCCCACATCTTTTGTTCGGACACACAATTTTCCCCGCAATTTCTCCCGCCTCGAGAAAAGGTTCCATCCATTGCATCTGCAGAAATTCAATTCAATTAGAGTAATTTCGAACAAGTAAACGGAATGACTGACAGGTTCGACGAAATACCCTGAACACTTTGGGTTCATGAGAATCGGTGGGCTCACTGGCTGTGGTTTTGCTCCCCCTCCCCCACTAGCTGCACTGTCCACCCCTAAAGGAGTGGTTCCATATAAGGGTGGTGATACTCCCCCGCGAAGCGCCGCTAATTTAGGATTAGCATGTAATTGTGCTGCAAATTCATTCGGGGATGATAAAGGTGGGGAAACTCCTGACGACGATCGGGCTAAATGAGGGGAAGAATTCGGTGCTGGTGAAGCGATCGGAGGTGTATCTTCCTTCACCGATTTTTCTGCAGATCCTGGCTCAAGGATCGTACCATTGCTATGCCCTACAGTATCAATCGCAGAGGGATGAGTCTCCTCAACCGGAGGCGTCAGCATTGCATCAGACATCCTCCTCCCAATATGAGTTGCCACCTGCGCAAAGGTATTCGGAGAACTTGGCGTCGCAGATCCAGAAGGACGACGGATGTTTGTCAGCTTTATAGTGCCAGGTGACATAACGTTATTCCCTTCATCGTCTTCATCATCTGAATCCAGAGCAGACATCGACATAGTCTCCATGATGCTTTTTGATGCACTGCCAAATGGGCGAGGGACAGGTGGACGACTTCCAGCAGGACCTTTGGGTGTTGCAGTCAACGGGGGAGAAGTTACGGGTCTACCATTGATATCATTCAATGGTCTGGCTGTAGGTTCGCCTTCTTCGTCATCGTCATCATCGTCATCAACGATGGCGGAGGTGGAAGTCTTGTTTGTTAAGCTGGTATTACTACCGTTCATTGAAGACATTGTCAATGCATCTCCGAAGCCCCCAAATGACAACCCAGATGGTCTCCGTGGCCTCGAATCCGACCCCAATCGTGACGAGCGACGAGAAATTGGCTGTTGAGGCTGATTTGTAGATGGTCTACGAGATGCTGCAGGCGTTATTGCAGGGGTAGCTGGGCCAATTTGACCGTGGTCCAGCATGTGTTCTCGAGCTGCAAGCTCCTGACGGCACATTTTGCATCGAATACGACGCCGAGGACCTCTGAGTGTACCTCCGGGAGTAGATGGAGTCGAATCAATTGCGGAGCGAGGAAAACGAGCGAACATATCAGTAGAAGGTAAGCTACCATCGCCATCTAGTCATTTACATTATTCTCAATGGATGCAAAAAAAGTGTCAGTCCACGCACTCATCACTTCCTCCGTCGTTCGCTGCATGTAATACAATCGTGTGTCCTTATCCTTCCGAGAAATATTGAACGAAGCATTGTGAAAGATCTCCAGCTGAGCTATGAATCCCGGATTGGGACTAGAAATTGATATCAGCGAATCTAAGCATAGGTCCAGACTGCAGACGTACTCGATTTCAGGTCTGGCTTTCCGTATAAGATCTAAAGCTTCTTCGACGCCCATTTGTCTATTATGCATTAAATATGCAGCAACAATTGTTGCGCTTCGACCTATAGCAATTGGATGATTGAGTTAATGTCATCTGTTGTTGAATCTTGACGACTTACTGACTCCTGCTTGACAATGCACCAGAACTCCTCTTCCCTTATCCAATTCAGATTGTATAAAAGCAATAGCTGGTAACAGATGTATCAAGATATCTTCTTCTTCAGAATCGTCCAAAAAGATTTGATGCTTGACGAAAGTCTACAAGAAAAACTTCAACGATCTGTTTGATGTTTCAAAAGTCCAACTTACTTCATGTATAGATATTTTTCCTCTCATTGCCGAAAGAACACTATAGATCTTGTTCTCTTTGAGATTCTCTGTGTCCATGGCGCTTGGAAGCCCTCCAATCCAAAGTCCGGGAATAACTTGGTCCATGGCGTTCATGAAATAGTATTTGTTCAGTAAAGCTTTCAGGAGATTGCGTTGAGCGGAGTCGGAAAGGGATGAATTATAGATGATGTAGATACTAAGTCGAGTTCAGTCGGAAGAGATGCAATGCCAGCGACAAAGGCATTCGAGAATGAATCAGTCAATTGCGGCACGGAACTACGGAATTACAATTTACATCACCCCGCGGTACCTGCCATGTACTTACATTATTACAGTAGTTTGCTTCCTTGTTTTCTTGAGGGAGCCCTGGGGAAAGCCACACTACATTCGACCAGACCCTGTGGATTAGTTCACACAATAATAATATAGCCTGACTATCGACTAACACAACTTACATGTCAATCGTTCAGATACTTAGTCTCTCATTATAGCTCGTCATGCACCCGAAAACTTTCGAAAATTACATGCCTTCTACAAGAGAGAGATTCGTTTTCTGTATGAGTTGTAGACGTATCATTTGGAGATCATGATACTCGGGTGTATATAGACCGTGTATTTGTTGAACTATAATAACCCACGTACACATGAATGTCCTGGCCGCACAAGTTTTGCAACGATCAATCAACGAGATTCGTGCTTCGATAGATAGATAAAACGCAATAATCGCCACAACATCTAAACTTACTTGAAAGGCACACCCAGTGAACACGCTTGTAATGGAAAGGCTTGAATATCAATGGAAAAATCGTTCCTGTGTAGTCAAAGGCTTGAGAAAGGAAGGTCGTCTTCTGAATGCCACCGTGGCACGTATTTTGTGTTCAGCTTAGCAGTAAATCGCTGTTCATTATTTATGGACCCAGGTTTGCGTACATACGCATGGCGTTTTTCCGAGACTGAAACATGGTACCTCTTAAATCAAACACTCCCATCTCTGGCCTTCAATGCCGCTGCGTGCTGGGTATCCAACACATATACATCACTTCCAGGGTACACTGCATATCCGTCGTTTGGCGTTGGTCCGTTTGTCAAATCAGAACCAGCTTGCCTGAAGGATTCATCAGGAAGTGCATGGGCAATGGTCGTAAGTTCAAGATATATACTGACCAGATCAAATCACCAGTGAGACCAGTGCTCAAGACCGTCGAATACCATGTAGCGTAAACGCCGCTTTGATTACTGGTGGACCCGAATTCTTCCAGAATAACAGGTTTGTTAGATGCTAACATGGCAGTTGCGTGATCTTCAATCCATTGAGTTCCGAAGGGATTTTCGGGTTCACCCCAGCTGTCCTACACGATATAAGCTCACGTCAGCGATGCGAAAACCGAGGAAGAACAAAGCTTACAGGGTAGAGCTAGAGGTTCAGATTGAAGAGATTGAAGACGTAAATTTCGCAATAATCAGAAATCGAAAACCTTCGAACGTGATCTTTATTTCCTTACATGGAACGTCCCGAAATCCAAGGTGCTAATGTTGAGGTTGGCATCGAAGTCGATGCCAAGACTTCCTCTAAGACAAAGCAAAGAAGGGCAAAGGTTACGAGGGCTTTCCGCGAGTCCACATAGCACGTACTGGTATACATAAATTGGGTTTCCAGGATCGTTGAAGAAACCCTCGTCACCAATAGCCACCAAATGGTTCGTATCAATTGTTTTTATGAAGGCTGAGATTTCGGCTGCCCATGTCGAGATGGTAGAGATCGTGCAAGTTCCAGAAGTAGCGCTGACATAGATTGACAGATTCAGGTTTAGAGCTCTTGAAAACACCAAAGGAACGGACCTCGTTGAACCGAGACATCTAGGTTCATTAGCCAGTTCCCATCCCTATGTACACGAGACAGAGAATACATATATCTGTAAGTATGCTCAATCAATGAAGGAAATGGACTGACAAGTATGCCAGGCTCGTTCACGTAGCGGCTGACAAAAGTCTTGACATAGTTTTTATACGCGGCCTGTGGACATTCAATTTGAGTTATAGACCGAGTGCTCATAGGTTCATAAGAGAAAAATCCACTCACAATGACGGTGGCGTTTGTATAGAAGTAATCATGCGGAGATCCCTGTCCAAGAATTTGGTTGACGTACACGTCCATACCGCCTAGAGGAAAACTTCAGTTTGGGACTGATCGGGCGTACTATACATTGCTCACCATAATCAGACCTGAATCGTGTCAAAGGAGATCAAAAGTTCATCATAGCGATGAGTGTCCTGATCTTGAGATTGACACTAAGAACCATACCAGTTGTTAGTCCTATGATAGGAAGTTAGTACAAAGGTATAGTACCATCATGTTCAAATCATACGCACAGCGTGACTATGAGTCTTAGACCATGGGCCTTCGCAATAGCAACGACATTGTCTGTACAGGAAAGAGCGGTCAGTTAAAAGAGTATGATGAAGGAGCAATATACACTCACCGAAATTCTCCAGCCCATTAGCACCAGTGTTGACGGTGGGTGTCGACCCAGACCAGCTCTGATAATACGCCACGCCATCGGGTGTAGTGACTTCATTGAATCCCCTGGAACATTTTGAGTCCTAGTAAACATGTTCATATCGTTTAGTAACTTACCACGTCCTGACCGTCGTCGCACCTGTAGCTGCAATATCCGCAAACGCGGTGTTCATATCGGCGGTGTCGTAGTTCATAAGCCCGACCCAGTACGAGTTAGCTCTGTCAAGAAAAGAAATCCATGTCATCCAATGCACTTGAAATTCTAGATAGAATGTATTCCAACCCAACAACAGTGAACGGATTCCCGTTTAACGTGAAATGTGTTCCGGAAGTTTTGACAAACCCAGTAACAGTGGCTGTAGGGGAGGTTGAAGTCGATGTCGCAGTTGTGGTTCCAGAGCCCGGGGTCGATGTAACAGAAGAGACGCTGGAGGTAGCCCCAGGTATGCATTGAGAGTAGTACGCGTTAGAAACCACACAAGCACTTCCGGCGGCGCAAACTGTTCATCAGATAATCAGTCCAGTCGTTCCTAATTATTTATCTCATTATTTACCGGTAGAGCCTGTATACCCGATTCCACCACATTGTCCATATACGGGAACAGTCTGTGCCGAAACCAGTGTGATGGCTGGTATCAAAACAAGCAATCGGGATAACCGTTTCATGGCAAAAACGATGAAGAGACTTCAAGCTTCAAGGGGCAACGAGACGAATATCCGACTCGTTTTTATTCGAGTCGCTAGGCTGTAAGGCACAGATTTCGCGAATCGTCACTCGACATGCTGGTCAGTGGTCATGTTTTTTGCTGGTGGAAGCGAACTTTCTCCGTGTCGATATAGAGTTGCGGTGATAAGTAACCTAGTACCAGCAAGCACTTCGAGTATGGAGAAATAAAGGGAAGGCTGCACCATCAGGTTGCGACGATACCAGATGACTGCCATACATTCAAGAGGACACAAGGTTTCCGTATACGATTGAAGAACATCAACATCAATATTTCGAAATAAAGGCGACCTTTAGGCGAGAAAATAGCGTCTGAAATTGCGCGCTAAGAATAGATTCGCATTGGCCAGTGTGATCGAATTAGAACCTAGACATAGACGGAGGTTCTATAGATGAAGGAATCAGGACGCAACATGATACTGCAAGACCTATCGTAAATGCACCAACTTAGTTTCCGCAAATCTCCTTAGATTATCATGACTCTTATCTGAAGATTGCTACTAGCTATGTCATTGTCCCGAAGACAGCACCTAAAGCATTGAGGATACGAGTTTTCATGAAAAATTCTGAGCTAATTGCATCAATGGCAGGAGAAGTAGTAATATTATAGAGCAGCCCATGCGGAGTATACCTGAACGAAAAAAGTGAGGATCAAAACATAAATTAAAAAATGGATACTCACAAGAATAATAAATGACAAGAAGTATGGATACGACAACGGAGTCTGCGACACTCAATCCGCCCTCTTAACTTTTTTCATCCCATCTCTCGTATTCATCGCTCTGGAGACTCTCCGTATACGCCTCGTTGATTGTATCGCAGAGATTGTCAAGGTCGTCAAGGGCCTTGATTAGAGCTTGCAATGATGAAAGATTATCTAAAGCAACCCTAAGCAAGTAGTTCGTCACTATGAAGATTGCAGTACGACGCACCATACATCTGAATCCGAATCTGAATGTTTGGTTCTGAAGGATGAGGCACACTGGAAAAGACAAAGGTTTAAGAGAACGCTGCGAGTATAGGAGATCATCAATCCTCACCTGTACCCACAAAATTCAACTTTTGGACTACGAGACGCGTCACTTTAAACCTCTGAGTAACCACGACGTTGTTGCGAGCTTACTTCTTCATGATCATCCAGCGTAGCGCATTTCCCATAGTATGTGATTCATCGTAGACCTGGTATGTTGCGGCAGAAAGATCAGATGAGGCGCCTTTCATCTGTAAAGACAATTTGAGCCATGGGTATTCATTTGGGGAGTGGAGATTTCAATCACAGACAATGCGAATTTTTGGGGGGGTTTCAGCAGTTGCCATGTCGCTGTCAACAGAGGGCAGAAATGAGATTGAAGGAATATATGTAGGGACGTGTAGGATGAGGCCTTGACTGAGCGTGGAAAAGAAACGCACGGGATATTGAAATAGTTTGAAATTGATGTGTCCACAAAAGTTCACTTACTTCTCTCATCTTTATCCTTTGCTTTCCCGACTCAGCGAAGCAAATACCCTGTATCACATTGTAAATGCTGAACTATGTTTCTTTACTAATTAGCCCATCTACATTCCAACTATCAACACCATATACCAACAACGGTACCCAGAAAGTTAAAAAGTCTTGTTTATACTTGACAGGATTTGTCATTGCCAGGTACAAGTCATCCCAAATTCGTGCTAAGTCATAACCCACTGTAGTTTCCTTAAACTTTATTCCCTTCAAATTCCGTTTCCGGAGTATAACTTCGTTGACTGCATGAATTCGATTAGAAGTAACAGGTGTGGTGAGTGACTGGAATCCTAGGGTACTCCCTGTCATCTAGCCGTCCTTTGTTAGGCCTAGGAGATCATACTTGATTTGGGTTGAATCAAATCTGAGTGTTCCTAGGAGAATACTTCCCTTATAAGGTCTCTTGATTATCTTCTCGACTTCCCATTTTCCACTTTGGGCGTGGAAATCCAGACCTGGTTCGAAACCAAAAATTATGATGATCTTCTCCTTGCGTTCAAGCTTGCGGCGGTCGATACCCTGACTGGTATAGCGATTGTCGGCATGACCTACGCCCTGGACACGCTTGGCATAAACATTCACGATTGCATCTAGAATGCATTTCAGAGCCTATATGATGAAGTAGGTCATGGTTGAACATAACTCACCCGAGAGACGTCGCTCGAGTTGTTTCCGTTGACCTTCGGTGTTACACAATGTCAAGGGTATGGTCATAACTCCAAGAAAAGACGAAAAGAGGAGGAGCACTGGGAACAAGCGCGCAAAATATTGCGGTACAATAGTCATACATAGCAGCGACGACGACGGGGCAGAAAAACCTTTCAGGTACATCTTAGCAGTGCCGACTGATATGCACAACACATATAAACACACCAGCGACGAATGATTCTGAAGCTTGGAGAGCGGTAATTGAGTGTGAGATCGAACTCCTCGTCTCTACTCGTGTTGTTAGTCTCAACCTGTTTGAATCGTGCAGAGATAATCAACTGACAAAACAATGTGAAAGGTAAATTTGGGCCAAAAATCTATCTTTTGATATAGATAAATTTGAGCGTCGATAACTGGATTCAATGAAAGATGGCGCAAAGTCAGATAATTGCTCTTGAGAAATAGCAAGGGTAGGGTAGGGCGGGCGGATGATGATATTCAACGTACTGAACCAGCGTTATCTTCGTGGGGAAAGGTGATGAGGACATCTCAGCCCGAATGGTTATATACATAGTCAAAGCAACACGGGAAAAATCCCAACAACTTGTGCCCTGTGAGTGCCTCGGGCCTTGGTAACCTGGCAGTGCAGATGTTGTTCGCTGCCTTGTCACGATTGCCCTCGGTTTGTCCATCAGGCTGCGTCGCGCTGAGTCTCTGAGTGTCTCTTTCTTCCACTGCCTGCACTATTTTTTCCATTCTGTCCTTCGGCTCGCAGTCAATCTCCTTCGGAAGGATACAGAGTCAACGAAGATCAGCAACAATTCAGTAAAGAACCAGGTGGCAGGATTGGATAAGATATAGTAAGTGCCAGTGGCATCATTCAGTGCGTTGATATTGCCGAGTATCGCCCAAGAAAAAGAATAGCGAACGGCGTGATCCCAATGCCCATTGCAGAACAACCCTCACAGTCTCAAGCAGGCCTCAGCTCGGCGTGAACTTGAGCAGCCATGCTCCTAGCGCACTTTACCACGGTATGCGATACTAATTCCAACTGCGAGGGCATACCAGAATACTTCTGAGATAATGAGGGAAGGAAGGAAGGGAGAACAGAACATCATCAATGTATAATTTTGAGGGTCCGATGCAGTCCGACGCCTATGTAAGCCTCGGAGTAGCGGTTACTTACCAGTCTTCAAGCGAGCAGAGGGAGGTACACACTGGGGCTCAAGGCGACCAATGGCGAGTTGGAGCATTGCGTCCGTCATTTTAGTTATGAGTCCTAGTTCCTGCAACGTTTGGTAGGAACTTTTGGAACCAAGGCGTTGTACTATTATATTAGTACTGCACTGAACGGAAAGCAAACCGACGCGGTTCCACTGAGGAACAATCGTCGAGCGCATGTAAGCCCGAAATTGTGGTGTAAAGGAACAAAGCACAGATTGTGTTCTCCCTATAAAGGAACAATGAGACGAAAGAAAGTTACGGGCGAAATGGCAGAACATTGTCTTCAGCCTCTAGGCGCTCAATAGAAAATTTTAAACTCCGCTTTCTTTGTGGTGCCCAGCACAACCAAACTGTAAACACGCCTTGCTATTATATTTCTTTTTCCCCCTCAATAATTTACACAATAGTCAATGTATCGCATTGTTGCAAGACTTGTATCAATAATGTCGGGGTAATTGACTATTTTGGACTTATAAAGCGATGCTTGCTCGCCTTTCTCCGGACAACCCATCCTCTTTTCCCCTCCTCTCATCTGTCAGCTCTTTGTATTGGTTATACCCTTTCTCTATCGCTTTTATCTCAAGGCAGGATCTCCCAGGTGGAACTCAGATCTTCCCGTTTCCCTCTTAATTGTTTCAAACGACTCGCTTCACTTTCCTCTACTTCCTTCCAACTCTTACTTCCAAATGGCTTTCTCCACCTCAGAATTGGCTACCTTGCCTCCACTTCGCCCAGTAGCGACTCCCATGCCCGTACGCCTGCCTGGAATTGAGCATATCCATTCCTTACCCGACCCACGTCCAGTAAGTATTTTCCTCATCACGCCTACCATCGCCGTACTCATAACATATTCCTTATCAGTCACGTACCATTCCTCTTTATGCCCCTCATGCATCCGTGCCTATACCACGAAAATTCTCTACCTCATCGTCGATCACGAATGAGTCACGATCCCCGTCTCCCTCTCTATCCTCACCTTCAAGCTCTTCGTCCCCAACCCTTGTAAATCCTAATCACGGATTGACCTCCACCCAACGTGGCCAGCCGTTTATGCGACTTGTTCCTACCGATATGGCCCACGCAGAGGCTGTCGTAGTTGTGCCTCCTCCCGGGCCTGAATCTCAAAAACCCTTACTCCTTATCGGTCCTGCGTTGAAATTCATCAACCACCCTCAGCGACGTATTGCCCGTGGTGCACGGGTCTATCCGTATCGCAGAGAAATGAGTCCCCATCACGCCCGAAAGGCTTCCTGGGCATCCACTGATTGTTCGGAATCATGATATAACGAGGTCAGTATCCTCTTTCATATGCATATGTAACCACCTGCTCACAGCTCTGTTTCTTTTAGTCATCCCGTTTCCGGTTGTATCTTGCATTTTTTGTATTCGTCATCACTATCGTGTATTTTGTTGGGCTCCCTGCAATGAGAACTGTATTTTTAACTCGGTATCACCACAATATTTCGAATCTGTCAAGAAAGATCTCAAGTTCAGTGTTCAGTGCATTTCTTTTGCATCAAATCAAGCAGTACAGTATACATATCGATCGCAGTGGTATGTACATTTTCGTGAGTTAAGAATTACAGTATTGCTTCCATAACACAATAATCGTTCCAACGCTGTGGTCCGCAACCATACATGATAATGGTAATAGATTACCTCATAACTAAGTGCCGACCACCTAGGTATCTTCTCCTGATACAACAAAAGGTATAAAGACAGTTAAGTTACTCGTGATGTCAAGGCCCATTCGTTGAAAAAGCAAAGGATTGCTGGCCATGGATGGTAAAGCTTTTGAGCAGTCATATATCTCAAATAAGCATCCAAAAAAAAGACGAAGAAGTTACACCTCAGAGCACCTCAGGCGAGACTTTGCGTATAATACCAGCCGGTCTCATCGTAGTCACTCTACGATTTTTTGACACGGTGTTCATAGCCGTTACGTTCTCTGTGGAAGAGTCAGTCGCAGAAGAAGTAGGGCCGACGCCGCTGGTGCGGATTCTGCTTCGTGAGGAGGATGGTTTTCTCGAACTGATAATTTCCACATAAGCAAATTTCCGACCTGGAGCCACGGTAGGAGAGCCAGTGCTGGAACCAGCTGGAGTAGAAGTCGAAGTAAGAGCAACAGTTTCTTTATCTTTTCTGGATCGCTTGTGGGGGTTACGCTCGCCCGTCGAGTCGTTTTGGGACTCTCGTGAACGTTTTATTACTAATGTCGTCTTCGCTGAGTATACTTATGTGAGATAGATAAGTAGTGCTCATGCGGAGGTTCCAGTGGGACGTACCATCAGAATTTGGCGGACTGGGGGGTGATTCTGTCCAAGGTACCTTTCTTGCCGATTTAGAGTCCTTTTCGGGAGGTCGTCTTTTGCGTTTCGGTGATGTTGTAGTAGTCGTGTCTCCGTCTGAAATTTTTTTGGATATTTCTAACACATCGACGGACTTTGAGGAAATATTCTCGGAGAATGGAAGGTGTTCCGGATCGACTACGGAAAGATTCAAACCAGTAGTTTCTAGAAATGGTCTCTCCGCTTCTGTTATGTTGCCTTCATCGAAATATGCGTTATCCGTCAATGTGTGTAAGGACCAAGGAGATCGGCGAAGAAAACATACCAGGCACAATTGTGGAAACCACAGTTGGTGAAAATTCTATCATTCGCTTCACCTCAAGTTCATCTCGAAGTAAATCTATTCGCTGGTCCCTCTCAGCTAGAGCCAGTTGCAGATTGTGTACATCCTTGGAATGGGATCGAAGCTGGTCAACAAGAGTGGAAATCGCAGGTATGACGGCAGCAGTGTCCTCTGTGAGGAATTTCGGGAAACAAGCCGTTTGACGCTGGGTAACCGGAATCAGCTCGTGTATCGCTTCCCAGAGGGATACAAGCTTGGGAGAAGGCTTCAAAACGTCCAATTCTAAATCGAATGAGCCGAACTCATGGTGATAAAGCACAGCAACGAGTTCGGATATGCGCTTATCTAAAGCCTTCCTTTCCAATTGGCCTTGCTCCTGGACTATGGAAAGCTGACGGCGAAGCTCCGCCATCTGTTGTTCTGCGTGAGCCCGAACGTCGGATAGCTGACTTCTACGTAGGAAGGCAAGAGAAACAACTAATTCCTGTAAAACGGAGCAAGTTTCGGCAGCAGGAGTACCTCTCTCTATTGAAGAAAGAGCAGTATCACGTTCTGTCTCGACTGTTCTACAGGCGATTTCCGTTCTCGATAAAGCGCTCCTGAGGTCCCCTACTTCCTGAGCGTATCGCTCAATTTTCTGCGTCGCTTCGGCTAAAGCGATTTCTGTTTGTAAGTGCTGAGCGCGGAGAGAAGATAGTTGATGATCTTTTTGTTGAGAGGCTAACGATGCCCCCTCTGCCTGACGTCGGAGGGCAATAAATATTGAGCCCGATTCGCGTCTCTCGCGCTCGAGCTGTCGCAATAAAGTATTCGTCCGCTCTACGGCCTCCTTCACTTTAGATTCATGACTGGAAGCATCGTGGATGGCTTTCTCCGAACAAGATGTTAAGTCTCGCTGGAGCTGCGCTATTTCCTGCGAAAGATGATGCTGCTCTACTTTGCTGCTTTCTCTGACGTTCGAAAGCTCCCTCTCTAAAGCAAGCTTTTGCTCCCTAAACGTAAAAGCGTATTTCCTCAGTGATGAATTCGCGGTGTTGGCCTCCGCCAATGATTCCTCCAGTTGGACAATTGTCGCCTTGAAATTATTGGCCTCGCGCATCGCACTGCTTTTCGCCTCCAGCGCATCCTGTCTGTCCCGCTCGAGTGCTTGCACCTGAGAGATATAGCCCGCACATATCGCATCCAGCTCCCTCCGTGTGAACTGTTTGTCCTCAAGGGCCGCTAGCTGTCTCTTCGACTCTTCCTGAACAGCATCAAGCTTCGCAGCGCATTTACGTAAGAAGGAAATCAATACCCTCGCAACGCTTCGCGTACGCCGTACCTCGTCTCTACCAGTTTGCTTCGTTACCTCTAACTGTTGCTGCAGCTTTTGTTGCGACAGACTCGTTTTAGAGTTCCTCATCCGAAGAAATTCCGTCTCATCAAGGGCTGCTTTTAATTGGCCTTCGACTTCCGCCAATTTTGCATTGTAAAATGCAGCGATAGTACCCCGTTCCTGATCAATTAAAGCAGTGAATAGCGCAGAGTGACGACCAACTGCCCGAGGAAAGCTCATAGAGGTTTGATGATGTGAGCCAGGTTGAGAGAGCGCCATGAAGAGCGGTCAGAATCATGAGAGACCAGATAAATGATTGAAGATGCATTTTGGAATGTTCTACCGCTGAGAAGGGAAAATTATGTAATACTATGCTTTATATCAGGTGAGCATCCTTGAGGTTCTCCTACATAGCCAGTATCAGAAACAAGAGAAACCTGCATGAAATTCGAACGTATCTCTCTCTCAGCTTCCTCAGTTCAGGAGTCGAAGAAGCAAATGTGGGCGCTTGTTCACATTATCCGATCGCCTAAATTGCGCTGAGTCAGCCCTTAGGTCGTTTCCGTCGGTACCCTATGTAGAAAGTTCCCGGTGCACCTTTTCAGCCCTCCTTCATGTCGTGATCAATCTAATCTTTACGACGGTTAGTCTTTCATTACATCGTTTTTTGCCTAAAGTGTGTCACATTAGCATCGTCGCCAGCCACTCCAAATAGCTTCACTGCTTAATCTCGGGCCACGATGATCATCATGGAGGAACAATCTGGAACAATGTTTCGACTTACACTCTCTCAATTCACCGTCAAGCCACTTCAACTTCAGGTTATCCCGTCAGAGCTTCACTTTTCGCTTAACCCTCATTCCGGAGCCTGTATAAATCGCGTAAGGTCGCTCATTGGATCAGACGTGAACATGAAACACATCCGCTTATACCTCACTGCAATTCTACATATGTATCATGGGCTTTCCATTGCCGTGTTCCATCGTCATAGAGCCCGTCTCGAATGCGTATTTAAACCCACCATTCGATTTTGAAGAATCTTTCCTACAAAAAGTGACATTCTATCAAACTCAAGCTCATTCACATAGCAATGCAATTCTTCTCTGTCCTGTTCTCGCTCCTGGCCATCACCACCACATCCGTACTAGCTCAGAGTGCAAACATCGGTGCTCCTGCGGATATGACTGAAGTTTCTGCTGGGTCAAATTTCACCGTTATGATTGATCGACCCGTACGTCCAAATATTCCTATAATCATCCACGGTACATCTCAATTGCAATCACAGGATACTCTCACCGGTTCAACTGAAGTGGCTCTTGTCATTGCTCTCCTGAGCTGTGCTTCAAATCCTTGCCCTGGGCCGTCCGAAGAACTTGGCACGGTCTTGTACGACGGGCCCTTCGACCCACAGTTTACGACTGAGCCTGGAACCAGTTCGCTTCCGCCTCACAAGAACTTCACGCTCACTATTCCCTCTACTTTTACCAAGGGTCAAGCTCAATTGGGTGTTGCGCACTTTTTCTTGCTTGGAGTGAGTATATTCATGAATGCCCGTATCTTGTAAAGCTAGCTAATTTCCGCTGTTCAGGCTTCTGTTGCGCCCATACTCGAGACCTTCAACTCTACCATTGTAATTACTTGAGAGTAGCTTTGTGGACGGTTTCGATTGTAGAGTGTTAAATCGTAGCGACTTGCACTGCGGACATATAAATCTCAACTATCTAATATGTAATACGGCCCCTTGCCACTTCATTCACTGCCTCTGATATTTGACATAAATCTTCACATTTACATTCCAGTGATTTGGAAACAAACAATGTCTATAAAAACTCTAACTCAAGGCGGCGTTTCTACGCAGGGGATTCTGAGAAGGGAACATTGACGCGACAAAGGATTCTGTGGCAAACATAAGATTTCGGATCTATGAGCTGAATCATGGATTGGCAAAGGATTTACAAAGTCGGACGAGAAATTGAAGCGACTGAGTAGAATGGGAGTGAGACTATCTATGTAGAGGCCGGAAACTTGATTAAGAGGCTCAACTACGGATCGTATACTGTAAGTAGCACAATTTCGAGACATGTGACTGCAATTATCCTGACTTCTCACCAATGCCTCCTTACCCATCGATGGATGCCTTCTCTTCTTTGAAGCATTGAATATTCACTAAATGCGACTATGCTTCAATACTGCTAGACCCATGCAAGTTACAAAGAGAACTGGAATGCTCCACGAGCCGACAAGATCGCTTGGATAATTTTATTAAAAAAGATGGGCTGGATTGTACTAAGTAGTGTACGTGAATGTTGTTCCCAGAACCTAGTGAAACACCCGCGTATTGGCGATGCATTTCCATAGGCCTTTTGTCGCCGTGCTCGATTCGCGTTATAAAAGCTATCGATGGAAGGCTTCCCCTGGGTTCTCCCTTCACAAGCTCCTTCTACTCCCGCCATCATCGACAATGCGACTGCTCTCTGGGCTATTCTCTCTTCTTGCAATCACTACTACATCTGTTATTGCTCAGAGCGCAAACATTGGCGCTCCTGCGGATATGACGCAGGTCTCCGCTGGGTCAGACTTCACCGTCATGATTGAGCGTCCAGTATGTGAACTTCCCTCTTATTGACGTTCTCAATCATCCCTATCCATATACTATCTAGGATTCGCTCACCAGCTCAACTGAGGTAGCTCTGGTAATTTCTCTCCTGAACTGTCCCTCAAGCTGTCCTGGTCCCTCTGTCTCTCTCGGTACAATCTTGTACAATGGACCTTTCGACCCTCAATTTTCAGCTCCTGAGCCTGGAACCGATAATCTCCCGCCTCACGAAAACTTTACACTCACGGTTCCCTCTACCTTTACCAAGGGTAATGCTCAGTTAGGTGTTGTTCATGTTTACTTGCTTGGAGTGAGTTCACTTTTCAACTACGCACAATCTGCCTAACCTGTTTGTTTGTTCAGCTTGCACTAACGCCCGAGCTTGAGACGTTTAATACTACCATCATAGTCACTTGAAAGACTCAGTGTCCGATACAACATTCTAATTTTACTGTGGACTTCTTACATGCTTTACGGACTGAAAGCGCAAACTGGCAATAAAAATCATTATGCACCTTACGTGGCAATGATATGAAAGTCTGTCAACCGTCCGAACTATTGCTGCACACTTTATGAGAATTCGAGGGCGAACCTATACGAAGTTAACAACTGCTTCATGATCTCTCCTAATCTCCCTCATCGGGATTGGGAAACACCCCAAAATCTTAGATTTCCTCTGACTGCTTCTACACCCCACGTCCTCGATTTCCGTGCTATCTGGGTCTGCGCTGTCTGAGAGAAATAAATTCACACCGGATGAGGGTGACCACAAGGAAATCAGGGTTTCAGGCCTGAATCTGGAAGCTCTGAATCGGGTGGTCGAGGATGGTCGTTGTCAAATTTTGGTATACGAACAGGAAATTCATAGCTACATGAATTCCTCCAAGATTTACCACCCGTAATCTTACTGATGATTGAGGTGTAGTTTTAGACTGAGGCGTATAATTATAGTGCACTACATGCGGCTGTGCAATCGAGTCACGATACCGATGCTCATGCTAATACCCCGTCTTTACACAGTTCATCGATTACAGCCCCGTCCTTTCATTCGTTTAGCAAGACTTCACACAACCATGGCTTCATCGCTAGATTCACTTGAAGGAGAAATAGAAACTCAAAACGCGTTATTCAACGAACTAAGACTTTCCGGCTCTGATCCTGCTGGACTGGAGGAAGTAAAGAAGAAGTTGGGAGAATTGAAGAAATCCCTTGGGCAGGCCAAGGCGAAGGCTGCCGCAGATGGCTCAACTGCATCTAGTAGCAAAGAGGTCGCCGGTAAAAAGAAAGAGAGGATCTTATTGAAAACCGCCAAGGCGAGCGGAATCTTTTCTTGGAGTCGTATTCGTACTCATGCTTAAGCCACCAGGGAACACGGGATTATGGCCCTGCTGAAATGTTTTGTCGTGAATACGTAGAGCGGATTGTCAAGGACTGCTTTTCGACTTATGGTGGTTCCTGTCTGGATACACCTGTATTTGAGCGCAAGGAAATTCTAGCAGGAAAGTACGGCGAAGACGCAAAATTGATATTTGATCTTATGGACCAGGGAGGAGAGCAGCTTTCTTTGCGGTACGATCATACCGTTCCACTTGCCCGGTATCTTGCAATGATGGGAGGGACGAATACACAGTCGAAACTTTGGCAGGTTGGAAAAGTTTACCGCAGAGATAACCCAGTTATGTCTAAGGGAAGAATGAGAGAGTTCTCGCAGGCGGTGCGTCTTTTGCAGCTTTCTCAATTCTACTCATTAATATTATCTTTAGGACTTTGATATTTCGGGTACTTGGGACCCTATGATTCCTGATGCAGAAATCATCAGTCTGATCTGTACAATTCTCTCGAAGATTGATGTTGGGGAGTTTACTATCAAAGTGAGTTATCTTGCAACTCAACTTGTAACATTCTGAAGCGTTTATTCAGATCAATCACCGGAAAATCCTAGATGGTATTTTCGAGGTATGCGGTGTACCCGCAGACAAGATTAGGACTATTTCTTCTGCTGTTGACAAACTCGACAAACTTCCGTGGGCCGACGTGAAAACTGAAATGACGGAAGAAAAAGGCCTTGACCCTTCTGTCGCCGACAAGATTGGAGAGTATGTCAAGCACAAAGGTAAGTCAATCTTGTCTGTATCCGCAAATATCGTAAAATAACCTGTTATCTGCGTCAGGTGGACCAGAACTTCTTGCGAAACTTCTGGCCGATTCGGCTCTTAGCGCAAACCCAAGCGCAAAACAAGGTCTAGATGACATGGGATTACTGTTCACCTACCTCTCAGCATACAATGTCATCGACAAAATCTCCTTCGACATGTCCCTTGCTCGCGGACTAGATTACTACACAGGCATAATCTACGAAGCTATCGTAGACGCCTCCGCCCCTCCTGGCTTCAAAGCTAATCCCTCAGTTGGTTCTTCGACAACTCCCTCTCCAGCATTGCCGAAAAAGAAAGTCACAAAAAAAGTCAAGAACGAAGACGGCGAAGAAGAAGAAGAAGTTGATGAATCTCAAGTTGGCGTCGGATCTATTGCTGCGGGTGGTCGTTACGACGGGCTCGTAGGCATGTTCAGCGCGGCTGCCGCCGGGGATTCTAAAAAGTCCGCAACTTCCAAAGGTTCTATACCCTGTATCGGCATATCTATTGGACTCGATCGCATTTTCGCTCTCGTCTGGCCCAAATGGGTTGAAAAGGGAAAACGCAGCAAAGAGACGATGGTGTATGTGATGGCGGCTGGCGACGGACTCCTTGTCGAGCGTATGAAACTGGTCAAAGAACTTCGAGATGCGAATATCAAGGTTGACTTTCTGGCAAAGAAGAAACCCAAATTGCCAGTGCAATTCGCGGCAGGTGAAAGAGATGAGGTACCGTTCGCGATCATTCTTGGGGAGAATGAGATCAAAGAGGGGTACGTGATGGTGAAACAACAGAAATGGGAGGTGGTAGATGGGAAGAAAGTAAAGGTCCTAGCGGAGGGCGACGAGAAAGGGGAGAAGGTTGACCGGGAACATCTTGTAGAGTGGTTGAGGGCTACGCAGACTTGGAAGGACTGGGAGGACGGCAAATTGTAATCACGCTATCTAAGTTGTCCATGAATAGATGATATATATACTACTGACTCTGCATTTCCTACACATAATGTATATAACGCTTTACCTTCGACACATATATTCATACCCACATTTCTACCACGGCGAACGAACTCCTGCTGAGCTGAGAGACCCGCCCTCAGTGAGCTAACAATAAAAAGATCAATGGTCGTGTACATGCATTACGAAGGCCTTTACGTACCACAGCTGATATTTGCTTGTGGACCATAGTTAGATCTGTACAAGATGAATGTTGTGAACAATGTGTACGAGGGAGAATTAAACTCTTACAATCTAAATAACCCATGTTCCCATTATTTTGATCTTCAACTAACATATCGCTAAACTCAATCTCTGCTGCGTCCAGATTCTGTCTCGCGATGAAAAACTTGGCTGCGCGACCTCCACGTTTTGCGTTTCGCGTGGCAATGATATTCCGGACTTGTTTGGAGAAGCGGGTAGCAAGTGGCGGTAGCTTAACCTAAAGAAGAGGGTGGGTGAAACGATTTAAGACAGAAATGCTTGAAGGTACCATATGAGGATCTAAGCTGAAAATATCGGCTGTTTCGAAGAGATCAATCAATAACTGGGGCGAGACACTCGATCCAATCCATAATATTGTTGTTTCTTCGTTGTCTACATAATATGCAAAAAAAATTGTCAGCGGACTAAATTGTGACAATAAGAAAACTCTCGAGGTCTTTAGCCATCCTACCGCTTACCTATGAGATATATCCCATTTGCCACCATCCATTCATGACTAGCTCGCATAGTCGATGGCAACAACACCGCCGAGTTTGCTGCCTTAGGTCGTGGTATACCGCCCACACCAGGCGTCTCTGTATCCGTCAACGTCAAAGCAATCGTATCATCCAGATCATGCAGAGCCAAGAGTCGTGGATACAGATGCTGGATAGTAGACCGTACACTCATGGAAAGCAGACGGTGTGTGAAGTAGTTACGAACGTCGGAGGCTATGTTGCGTGCTAGGGAAGGGGAAAAGGGAAATTAAATGTGAGAAGGTGAAATGAATGATAGCTACGGCGTACCTTTGAGAGGTTTGGATTTTAAAAGACCCAACGTATATGTAGGAAGAGCTTTGAGCGTTTCTGGAATGATAAGCTGCCGAAGACCTCTAGGTGAGCCGGAAACGATCGAAATATAGGTATAAGAATGTGATGATACCTGGGTAGGTCTTGAGGCAGCCGCGCATTTATTCCTATAACCTAACAACATAGCGGAACAGTTCTCTGTGAGGTCATCTCTTATCAGAGACATTTTCTGTGACGATAGACTGGATACGGCTGAATTTGAATAGGTCAATATTTTTGTCGAGCCCGTCCCAATAACCAGTGTTGCCCACCTGTTCTCGTCAAGTAGTTCATACATGTATCCACATCCGCAAATTGAAACACATTTCCAGCCAGCTCAACCACTTGAAGTGCTAAATTTACCAACCTCACCCTTCTCTGACCCTCGAGGGACGTATACAACACCGCGCATTGCAGGTATGCATATTCCCGTGGACTGAGACCTGAGCTTGTTATGGAGGTAGCAGCATGTGTGAGAGAGACGCAGAAAGACTTGTCTGCATCGAGAATACCAAAGGCCATGTCGGTTGAGTTTTGAAGGTAAAAGTTCCCGTGATGATTTGTTATTCGAAGGCCTATCGGGGTCTTCGATGTTTGCGAATTCTTTTGCAAACTGTAAAGGGAGACTCACCTTTCGAACACCGCACCCTCGCTATGCAATCATACCCCGTAGTCCGTCGAATCAATCGTTGCATCTGCGATTCGAGTACTGGGCTGTCTCGCAACAAGTCAAACCGAGGATGGAAGAATATATCACCGCCTGTTGTCGATGACACTGCGCCTGATATAGATGTAAGAAATTTGGGGAACGAAAACGACTTTTACAATGTATGACCTACCCACACTGGCTACATCCACGAATTTATTATTTCCCAAAAACATCGACACTCCAATTCCCTCTTCTGCGCATTCTTCCCCAATCTGCTTCCATAATGGATCGCGAGGTTTATACAGCACTTTTTCTTTGTCGGTATCATACAGCTCGTTTTCATTAGGCTGACCGTGAAGAGCAGCGATGCCCACAGACGGCATAGTACTGAGAAAAGTGATGATATGACCACCGCGATTTGACTACCGATCATGAGCAAATGTCAGGCAATTTAAAAGAAAGAGAAACTCACAAGCGCAGCTTGACCCGCTCTTATCACTGAACCTAACGCATTTCTAGAATCCGATGTGTTGACAAAACGTTGTGGTAGCGATTGCAGTAGAGCTTCCAGCGACTTTCGACGTTCCCAGGGGTCGACAAAAGCGTCATTGTAGAGCGGAACAAAGACCTCGTCTACGTCAGAAACTACCATCATAGGACTAGGAACTTTGTCTGTCTAGCATGTACACGTTGAGAAAGCCACCATTAGCGGGGGTGCAAGGAGGCACGCACTGTCAAGTCGTAGAAGTGTAGTGTGCTATCATAGGTGATGATAGCTATCCGGCTGCCAGAAGGGAAACACGAATCAAGCATAACTTCTTCATCAATATGATCTGGACCTCCGTATAGAATTTTCAACAGCGATATGCAGGCAGCATACAGAAAATTTGACTGAACAGCTTCTACAGACACATCAAGAGCAATTACGAAGTTGAGCGATTGAGGTGACCGGACACCAGTTGGCAGTGGTGTGGGGGAAAAATATGGGGGTGTCAACCGCTGTGGTGGGTTCGACGCAAAGTATTCATCTCCAACGACAAAATCCACTGTCCCTTTACATAGTTCAGGTCGATCCATTTGATCAAGGCGCATTCCATTTCCGTCTAGGTTGGAAAAGTACTCCGGAGCCACGGTGGTCTCGTGCGTACACAGGTTACATTTCCATTTACTTCCCCCTGCAGTCCACACACACCATGGATTGACGTAGGCGCGACACTTTTCGCATCGAGCTGGACCAGACGGACCAGGGTCAAGGAGTGGAATTGGCTCGTCTCCTTCAGCAAAGGGTTGGAAGACTGCAGCAAGAGGTACGTTACACTCTGATGCTAGACGCGAAGTGTGAGGCAAAGCCCAAGTAGTCACGCGAACATATTTCGGTGAGGAGTTCCCTGAACAAAGTCCAATGTTTACAATGATAAATGCATACAGAGATGCACGCACCTTGGTCCACAGCTACAAAATCGGTGGTAGACAACGGTACTCTTGTTCCCGGGAGAGTCAAGTATGGCTGTTTCTCCCAGTGTTGTCTGTCAGACTCAACGGCATCGACAGCAGAGGGTACTTGATTTGGATCGATACGTGGGCGCAAGCCTAAGTATCAGATAAGTGACTTGGTTCATTAGGTTCAAGGAAATAACATACCGTACCTTGAATTCCTCGGCCAGCACTGTGAGGCGGCTGCGGAATATGTGGAGACTGTGCAGGGTTGTACATGGCAATGAGCTTTAACGTTGTCAATGTCCAGAAACAAAACACCCTGTCAGTGTTCGGCGCTTCAGCACTGCAGCTACGTGTTCTCAAAAAGGTATTCTTGGCACGTGTTCATTTTAGACGCCCCAAGTTTTTTTTCTGACCATCACCATCTGTTAGCTGACTGTTACTCAAGTCAACCCAAAACTTTCGAATCTCTTATTCGTACTAGGCTCCACTGTTGTGGACTGCACCTTGCTTGGGAAATGATAAATTTCAGTGAAATTGATACTAGAACTGGTATGGCAGGAACTAGGGAATGATGCAGGATTTATGTATGCAAAAAGTGTGGTCTAAGCATCATCTGAGTGTCTTTGTCAAGGTGTAGATTTTAGTTCAAGTATCAAGTGAAAAAAACAAGGCACATAAGGTGCACTACAGGATATACACACTTCAAAAGCCTTGTGGAAATTTGTTTGATTAATCTGAGTATTGAGGAAAGAATGCAGCGCACATAAGGTGCGCCGCAAAGCAAGCACAGAGCTCTGGATGTTTGTAAACATTTGGCAAAAGCATGAGGCCAAGCACAACCAAAATGTGCCTGCACAAAACAACTTAACTTCCGGAGTGCAATAGACCTTGCAAGCAAGGTGATATTCTACAGTCGGGGACAATCAAAGTCGACAAAAAAAATGAGCGAGTTTTCCCAGGTTCAGATTATAGTAAAAATCATTCTATTCTACTTTTTGAGTATTCTGGCACAAAAAGGAAGAGATTTCAACCAGCCGATCTCCAAAAAGGCAAGTTTGGGTTGCAGACCTTGAAAAATTGGCCGTACCCTAAAACCTCGTGGGAAAAACTTCGGAGATGTGTTTTTGGACGTATTTGGCCTTCCTGAGTGCAAATCCATCATCAGTTTTACCGAGAAAACTCACCCTCATGTGCCACAACAGCTTTGATGAAGTTTCCCATCTGCCAATTAACATACCCCTTTGGGGACATACACCTTGCTTGTATTCCTTCTCACATGCCAGACAACATTGATTTCAGATTGTGTTGTGATAGCAAACTCTCATTATCAATGCTTTCTATTCAAGTTCATAGTGCTGATTGACATAAATTCAGCCAGGCTCTATGTCAAAAATCAAAACAGATCAAAACTCGTTGTACTACTCCCACTGAAACCAAGCCTGTATCATTGTTCATGAACATGGCCACTTTATTGTTAAATCGACACACATCCAAGCCTCTCTTCCACCTTAGATAACCTACTGTAAGACCTGGGTCAAAATAGGTCTTAGGGTAGGTTTTGGTATATGGAGGTTTATGTTGTAGCGTGCTAAGAGCAGGCTGGAGCTCGAAGGGAGCTACGAGAACCGCGACCGAGGACGGGAATGACCTAGTAGTGGCTGGAACGACGAGATGATGACCCTTGAGGGGGTTCCTAGGAGGTCCAGGGAGGTCCCTAAGGTGGAGGGAGTGTCACGAAGCGGCAGAGGCGGAGTGACTAACGGAGCGGGAAAGCGGAGCGACTAAGCAGAACGGCGAGGCGGAGCAACTGAACAGGGCAACAAGGCGGAGCGACTAAGCAGAACGGCGGCAGGCTGGTCCCAGATAATGACAGAGATATATTGAGTATCGTAGTCATAGGTAATAATAAGTAAGCACATACCTGGTCCCAGATAATGACAGAGAGGTCAAGATAAGGGACCAGGCTGTGGAGGGTTGGCTATATATACATAATCCGGTCTGCGAGAAACAACGATGTAATACTGTACAGTTTAGGAACAAGGAAGGTGGCGGAAGCCAGTAGAAGGAGAAGATGGGTCAGGTGGATCAGTAATCGATGGGGGTTTGACAGTGATGGGATGATGTATCGTACAAGTAAAGGCGTCGAGACGGTCAGAAAAGGAAAATGATAGGGGCTGCGTACTTTATGACATTACCCCCCTCCTTATGACCATTGTCCTCGATGGTCAAGGTTTTGCCGCCGTTGGGTGTTTTTTATGAAAGGCCCGAACAATTTTTGGTGCTCGACTGAGGTTGGCTGCGGGTTCCCAAGAGTTGTGCCCTGCGTCGTAACCTTTCCACTTAACCAAATATTCCAACTTCTTCCATCGAACCCGGCTGTCTAAGATCTCCTCTACTTCGTATTCCGGTTTGTCTTCATCCTCTAAGTATACCGGCTCTGGTGGTGTTGGTATTTCGCCATTAATGGAGTTACCTTTCCAGGGGTATAGTTTATCAACATGGAAGATGGGATGGAGGCGATCTAGGGATAGGGGAAGGTCAAGGCGATAGTCTAAAGGGCCAATTTTCTCCAGAATGCGATAAGGGCCAAGCTGTCGATCTCCTAACTTTTCACTGGAAAGCTGAAGGTTAATGTCCTCTGCACTGAGCCAGACTAGGTCTCCAACTTTAAATTGATGAGCTTTCCGCTTCCCGCGTTCGTATCCCTCCTTCTGTTGTTTCTTTCCTAGGTGTAAGGCAGCCCCGGCATCTTGTCGCGCTTCTCGGAGAATCCGTATACGGTCATCTACAGCTGGAATACCGCTGCGTTGGCCCACTGGGATATTGAACAGGGGAAGATAGCCGTAGGTTAGCTCGAACGGGGACATGCCTAGAGCAGAATGAGTCCGTGAGTTAATCACAAACTCCGCCATGGGAAGGTGCTCTGCCCAGTCATCTTGTTGTCGTCCCACATAGAGGCGGATGTATTTCTCTACTTCCTGATTTGCTCGTTCAGTTTGGCCATTGGACTGAGGACGGTATCCGGAGTTTAGATCTGATTTAATTCCTAGCCTAGCGAGAAGGGATCGCATGAGTTTAGCTGCAAACTGGGGTCCGTGGTCGGATTTAAAGTGAAGAGGAAGACCATGGAGACGGAAGATTTCTCGGTAGTAAATATCGGCAACGCCTTCGGCTGTGATGGAGCTGGTGCAAGGAATAGCGTGAATTTGTTTTCCATACAGGTCTGTGCAAACCAAGACAGCATCGTAGCCTTGGGAGTTAGGTAGCTGTGTTATCAGGTCAACCCCTACCTCTTCCCATAGACCGGATGGTACATCTAATGGTTGAGTTACGGCCCGTGGGTGTCGCTGGATCTTCTTACGGGCACAAACCTCGCATCCCTCAACGTATTTTTCCACAAAAGAGCGCAACGTTGACACGCCTAAATTTTGGCTAGACGTCTATGCTGTGAATTGTGACATTTTCACGTATAGATTTGTATCAAGAGGACTGTAATTGAGACCCAGATTGACAGTCAAAGTCGATACTGAATCAGTCTAATAAGTTGAAGGGACCATATACCCATACTACCACAAGTTGGTTAGTTTACCCATCCCCGATACTACCTACGGATAGCAGTCTACCTGTTTGTCAAGCAGGATTATACCAGACTCGGACTACATCCGAAGGATGACCATTCACGTATGACATACCAAGGGTATTCTTATTGGACCTTACACTGGCAGGAGTTTGGAAGAACTTACTCAAGTGACCATGAACCGAGGATTGACTCGAAATGACTTTCTAGAACTCAGGAATTATCAAAATACTCCTTCTAGAACAAGATCATGCATTAATCTAAAGGACTGCAATTTAGTCTAATAGACCAATCAAGTTGCATGGTTGAGGAAAATGACTAGAAGAACGATCGAAGTACTGCGAGGCTCCGAAGACATATCAAATGAATGTCAAAGAGTCCTGACGTAGAAAATATTGAAGAATGCAATTAAATGAATACTATGTGTAACTCCCTTGATTGAGTATAGGCACAATGGGTGTCTATTGAAAGAGAGAAGCAGTTAGTTTAATCCAGATGAATCAGATTGATAGGATTAGAATTGAGGAGAGCTGATTTGCCTCTGGACGAGGTGACAAACGATCGAAGTAAGTGTTGAACAGCAATGACAGTTGAACACCATTCGAGTCATCCTCCAAAAACAATTAAATTAAATGAATATTGAAGTACCTACCTATGTTTGGAGGTATACTAGAATCTTGGAACCAATATGGACCAAATAAGGACATGTAGATTCAAATTAAATGGTATCTGACTGAGTGTAGAAGTTTCCTTGCGGTTCCGAACGTTTATTGTATTAAATTAATTGTACTATGCGACTCTATATTCTGTATGTATAAATAGCGATCCGATGTATCTGGAATACAAGTGATTTTGGGACGACGTTGCAGTGCTAATCCGTAAAAAGGAAAGACACACTCCCGCCAGACTGAAACCTCTTCGCTAGCAGCCATTCGGGCCCGGCACTTGTGAGTATAGGAACGTCGTGTTCTGCTCCTTGTGACTGCGAGAAGTCTATCCAGTTGTTGGGTATTCTTCGAACTTAGGATCAGTCGTTGGTCTTAAGGGCAAATCACGCTGTGTGGTTGTGCCAGCACATAGTTCTAGCCCTCTGTAGGGGTCTGTGTGTTTCGGTTTTAATTTACTTTGATTCAAACCCCCAATTCTTGATATACCCAAATCAATACAAACCAAAGCACAAATCGTGCTGAATCTACCTTGATCAAAGGAATATATCGAATCCTTAGAACGATTCAAATTGATTGATCAAAGCTTCGTACTTAGCTCTCAAAGCTTTGCGGAACCTTTGCCAACGCTACCCCTTGCTATTAAATAAATTTGATAGCAGTGAACTCGCATATTGTGTATTAGATTGGTTGGTTGGAGTGCTCATTAGATTCCTTCCTTTCTCTTTCACACAAAAACGAGGCAAGCTCGTTAACGTGGGCCACCAGAAATGGGTACTGACCAAGTCAAGTGTCCCGTGTAGTCCGGGGTGTCCTGCAGTTGGATGGTCGTGGCATTGACGGAGTACCTCAGTGCGTAGGTCGTCGTTTGCTGGTACGTATACTCGACCTCGGTAGTAGACCAACCCATTGTCCTCTTCCCATTCGGCTATCCCATTGGCCAAGCGCTGTAGTCCGTGCTCTTTGACTGTTTTGAGACCCTCCAATACCTGTGCTTCCCATTCTGAGGCTTTCCGGATACGATCCTCTAA